CTGCGTAGCTGGAAGGAGGCCCGGCTTTGGGCGCGCCGCTCTTGGGCCTGGAGTTCGGGACACAGAGGGATTTCTGCCGAGTTTGGGTGCCGAGTCTCCTCTCGGCTTTCGTTTTTGGTTGCAGGGGGGAACAAAAGTATAAGGCCCCTAACTTATAACACGTCCATGTCTTGGCTACGTCTCTCGCACCACCTCCCAAATCCTGGGCGTCCTGCTGAACTGCAGGTCGGACCGTAGGCTTCTGCCATCGCTGACTTGCAGGGCTGGAGAGCGCCTGCTTTCAATAGACCAAAGAGGCAAGGCTTCCGCCCTCAATCAGACGCATGCGCCGCCTCTCCAGTGGGTGACCCACCTGGCACAAACAAACACAACAACGGAACAAACACAGGAACAAAACAAGTACACATACGCGCAGACAGACACTCTTAACCACTCCTGCAAGACCAACAAACAGCAATCTGCCCTGAGATGTTGGATGCATTGGAGATAAGCATGCCGAAACTTCTCCGCCAACCTCATTGGGAGGGGGGTCACAAAATTCTACGCACGCCTGCGTTTCCCCATGGCTCCCACATCCATGTGAAGAAGCAATTTAGCCACGACAATGGCCCAAGTAGACAAGAGCCATCATAGCCATCAGCCACCCTTCACGCGCTGTCAAACCCGGCAGCGCCACCAGCTCCTCGGCTCCCGGGCCGCGGCTGCGACACCTCGGCCACAAGACCGCGCTCACCCGGCTAACATCCGCTTCAGGCACCCAGAACTGGCCAGTGCGGTTTGCTTTCTCGAACCCTGTGGCTCTTTGCAAAAAGTCCAAGTCAGTTCTGGAGGGCACCAACCAGTGAAGCCAAGAGCCCGCTCCTAGCCCGCAGCCCTTAGTCACAGGCATAGGTAACCAGCGCCGGCCGAGGAGCCCCGGTGGTGACCTGAGGCGTCAGCGACGAGATGAAGCAAGGCGAGATGCCATGCGATGCCATCCGATGACGCACGTGTCACATGCTGTGAGGGCCCCTGCCCGCACGCCGTTGGTTGACCTGGGCGAGCAACAGCTATAAAAAGCTGTTGTGGGGGGCTCTTTAACTCAGCAAGTTTACGAACCAAATCCTCATCCAGGCCAGTTTCCCCACACTGAGCTGGATGTGACCCGCCCTGCAAAACGAAACCTTGCCAATTGCTTGGATCAAGGAATTGCCCTCAGCACAAATTCTTCTTGAGCTTGGCACTCCAGACTCGGCCGGGCCTGGCTCTCCAAGCTTGCGCGCCTCTGCGTGCCTGGAAGGGGCGAAACTGACAGTGACCTCTGTCAGACGGCAGTTCGTTCGTTTGGATTTGGATGAACTTTTGCCCTCAAGCCGGAGAGGTACAAAAAGGCAGATCTGGCCTGGCCAGTTGAAACCACCTCCTCGTGAGCCAGGGCCTTTGCCGTGGCAACATTCTGTGACAGTGAAGCACGCAGCCGAAAACATCTCTGCGATTGCCTTGGGCAGCTTGTGATTGGGCCATGTAACTTGCGAATGACAATGAAACAGGGGCCCGGCAGCAAAATCAAGAGTGCGGCCACCATTTTGTGGCACCCAACGGAATGCTCATGCAGCGCACAAGGCCGACACGACCACTGGGAGGACTTCTGATTGTCGGGACATTGCCTGAAGCACGTCTGTGGCTTGTCTTTGGCGCTGTCTGCGTCAGCCTGCCTCGAGCTTGGGGCTGGCTGTTCACCTTGGTGCCGGAGAGACTGACCCATTCCGGAATGGCCAAGCAAGGGCCTTGAAGCAACAAGCATACTGTGTGCGGTGTTCAACTGTTTGAACGTAGTTGAAGGGGTAACTCGGGCGCACGTGCGCAACGCACACTCGCTGCCCTACGCATTTTACAAGTGTGACCTGTCGTTGTGACCAAGCGGAAACCGTCTTGCCGGGGCCCCGGCATTCCGCATGCTTGCAGACAAGAACTCTCTCTCATCGCTTTGGGCATCCTCCTCCTTCGCGCCCCCCCCCGCCCCCAAGAAAAACAAGAAGCTACCGAAAGTCCAGCCCTGGGTCGGAGAGCCAACGCGCCAAGCAAACGCACCATGCCTCACTGAGGGCACCAGAGAGCATCTGCTGCAGCAGCGCACGGTTCGCGCCTGAGAGCGGCTTTGCCAGTGGTGCGTGTTTGCCGGTGCCCCCCGCAAAGGCCGCAAGCTCTGAGCGCCAAACAGGTGACCTTCCCTTCATTGGCCTTTCAGGACGAAGCGCTTTGCATCTCTGGCACCTCCCTCTGTCCACAATGCTCCCTGTCAGACTGCCTTCCCCTTTAGGAAACCTGATCTAACAAAACTGCAGCAGTGAATCCCTGTTCAGACTTTTGGAGGCATGGGGTTCCTGCATTGCGCCTCCTTTCAACAGTTTCTTCAATCTGGATTCTAGGCCCGCGTGGCCTCCACTTTGGCAAGCTCAGCCTGGCCAAGCAAGGCTGAGAGTGCCTGACATGGCCTCATCTTGTGCTTCACGACATTCCAGCTTCCCAGGCCCCACCCAAAGCTGCCATAGCTCACTTTGGCTCCTCGCTTACGATCCTGTGCCTTTTGCATTCGGAACATCAGCACCTGTCAGTTTGAAGGTTGCACAGCCTGTGAGTGCTTTCCACATGCGCCACATGCGCGCCACTGAGAACTTTCCTCAGGCGCAGCCCGTGGAAATAGGGCAATGACAAACAATGCCCTCTGATTGAATTGTACATGCCCATGAGTCCAATCCTTAACTCACCGCCTCTTCTTGATGAACGCCACGGCCCCAATCACGGCAGCTGCAGCCACAGTTGTAGCTGTCAAGGCCCGAAGCCGTCTCTCTTTGTTGGGGCCACCAAGGCCCATTGCAGCCTGCACGAGGCATCACTAGGGATCGCAAGCCAAACATTTGTGCGGGCCATCTCTCTTTCTCTCTTTCTCTCTTTCTCTCTTTCTCTCTCTCTCTCTCTCTCTCTCTCTCTCTCTCGCTGATTGTGTTCAACACCTTCATCGCACGTTCTGAGTGACTCTCTTCTTTCAGGAAAACCTGCAGCTTTCTCAGTTTCTGGCACTCACATCGCCATGGTATCCCCCTCCAAATCCTGGATCCTGCCTGGACCTTGTTCGCCCAAGAGCTCTCCCCGCAGCGAAGGGACGCCGAAAGCCAGGAGGCCTTTGGCCCAGGCTGCCGCGGGAGCACGAAGAGATCCCCAGCACTCAGCTGGTCGTTTCCGGGCTTCAAACAAAGCTGCACCACCGGGTTCTCGCTGCCCCTCTCCGTGTACCGAACCTCCAGAGACTCCTCCGAGCGCAATTCGGCGACATTCAACGGCTTTCGCACTACATGCCCGACAAAAGGAGCCAGAATCGACAGAACAAACAGTCAAACTTGAGCTCCTCCAAGCCCAGCACCTGCTTGGAGTTGACGATGGAGGGCATGAATGGGGAGATGCGCTGCCACAGCAGATCGGCCAGCCAGGGGTCTACCGTTACCAGCCCAGGGGATCCCCCGGCACGGTCCTGCTCTGCAGGCGACAGGCCGAGCTGCTCTGCGGCTGCAAGCACCGCACTGCATTCCGCTGCACTGAAGACCCCGGTGACCTGAAATCTCAAGGGCACGTGGTCAAAACCCTCTCAGAGCTTTTGGTCAAGAGCACCCAAAAAAGAACAAAAAGCACAACGGCGCTCTTGCTTTTTCGAGGGCCTGTCTGCTGTCCTTGCTCTTTGGAAAGACCTTGCCAAAGGCTCCCTGGCAGCGCTCGCTGACTGCCGAGCCCTTTGCCTTGGCCGGTGAGGCGCCACCTGCCGCGGTGTCGGCATCGCGGCTGCCCTGCAGGCCCGGGGACACGGGGCCGGGCTTGGCGGGGCCCTTGGCCTGAACAGCTGAGCGGTCGTGCCAGGTGGCTCGGAGCTAAAATCTGTTCGAACCACCTAAGAAACCGAACGGAATGATATGACCCCCCCCTGTAAATACCAACAAACGTTATGGGTTCAACCATGGCTTCAAAGCGGTGCAGGATTTCGCCCATCCACAGTAGGTTTGGCCAGGCCACCCGTCAGTTGAAGGGCGAGGTGTATGACTATGGCCGGCGCACAAACAACAGCACCGGCGTTGCTTGCCGTGAACCAGGCCCAAGCTATGCGCGGGACCTTCTCAAAGATAGCAGTGGCGGTTTGCATTCAAAGACTTAGTTACACGGTAACCGAGGGAATTCACTTCATTCCAGCCTTGTCTTTGGTCTTCGCCTTGGCCTTGCTCTTGGGTTTCATTGCACCAGCCCATGCTGAGACACCCGGGAAGAACTCCTGAAGCAAATCCAAAAGGCGCATGCAGGTGAAAAAAGGATGGGACACTGCAAAAGAAATGTGGCCGTGGTTGCGCCCGTCTCCTGCGCGTCAGGCTTGAGTGAGGCTGGCGTGGTTTGGCTGGGCCAAACCGCCTGAGGGTGGAAGTCAAAGTTTGCAGCCGGCGGCGGTGTTAGGAGAGTCTGGTGGTGATGGTTCAAGATCACCTGGCGCGCTCACTATGGCGCACTGTCAAACAACTTGTTGGGTGTTTCGTGTTTTTTTTAAGTCCTTTGGCCAGCGTTTCTTGCCTGGGTGGGGACAAACTCTGCAGCATCCTTGCGCATGGACTTTGGCTCCGCCTCCGTGTTCCACGGCTTGCCCGGCACAAACTCCGCCGCCCCCTTGTTGAACTCCTTCTTTGCTTGTGAGCCCGCAGGGGTCGGCTCATCAGTCTTTCGCCTCCGCCTGGTTTCCTTCTCTTTTGACTCCTTCATGGCGGCATACACGGAGGGATCCACGTTCCGGAGCAAGGAGTACACGTAGCCCCGCCAGTTGGAAATTTTCTTCCTCTGGCTCCCTTGCAGGATGCCCCGGAGCTTTTGGCACGCCTGCGTGAGGTCGCACCATACTGGCGCAAGCCACATCTGTGTGTGTGTGTGTGTCTCTGTGTGTGTGTCTCTGTGCGTGTGCGCGCGCGATCTTGATCATGCCTACTCCACACAAGCCATGGCCATGGCCACTGGCCTCCATCGCTTGGCCCTTCTCTGCCAGGGCGTCCAGCAGCCGAAGCGCCTTGGAATCGAAGTCTGCAGGCTGCACCGGGGTGCTCTTGATGACCTGCAAGTGGACCAGGTCTTTGCATTTGTGTTAGGATGGTTCTAAAAATGTGCATTTTGCCTTCAAGGCCCAGCTGCAAGGCAGCAGAACCAACTCCAGCCTCCAGAATCCCATTCTTGTAACTCTTGTCCTTGGCTCACAATTGTCCGAAATCAGCCTCGCCTGCGCCACATTCAGGAAATTCATACTGGAAAGCCATGCGCTGGATGCAAGCAAAGCTTCGGCCAGCATGTCCTCAAAGGCATCGCTGCCTTTGCCCTTGCCCTTCACCATGATCAGGGGAAAATCACGGGATTTCCCTCACGTGGCAAAAAGCTTTGAGCCACTCAGGCTGCTGGTTTCAAGCACGGCAACTGAGAGCATGAGCACCTGATGGTCCTGGTCAAGAATCATATGCACCGCGAGCTTGGTCAACACACGTGTCATATTCCAAGTCAATCGCCCTCTGCGCGCGCGGCCCGTGCCTCAGCGGCCGCAGCTTGGGCGGCCTGCGAGCCGCGCCCTCTCCCAGCTTTGGCTTTCGCGGAGCCACGCCTTGGACCGAAGCGAAAATCTGCCCCGGTCCAAACGTCCCTATGACATCCTATGACATTGCTGGCGCGCCGCTTTTTGTACAGCTACTGCAGCTACTGCTTTGCGGCTTGCTCTCTCACAATGCTTTGGATTGTGCCATCTCCAAGCCAGTTGCCGGCTCATCCTTGCCCGCGCTCGCCTGCAACCTGGGGCTCAACTAGGAGCAACAACGGCGGACGGCAACATACACCACACAAGCCAACACAGCTGCAAAAGCAGGCCATGGCCAGGAAATCCTCGTCCGTGGTCTGCATGCCAACTGCAGCTGCGGAAAGCCCTGTGCCCGCAGCTTCCGCCAGTGCTCGTAGAGCTCGCGGCCATCTTTGGGCGCTGCTCCTTCCCAAGGGAGGACATAGCTGACGTCTGGGCCCCCAGCCTCCAACACGAGAATGACGCCAGTGGTTGCACGCGTCAACCTGAAGCGACGCTCCGCTGTGATCCCCCAGCTGCTGCGGACCGCTGCCTCCCTGACCCTCGGAAGGATGCGCTCGCTGGCAAACACAACGATCCTTCCATCCGCTCGAATAAGTCGAGAAAGCTCCATGAACATCCGTGCATAAAAGTCCTCCAGCTTGCCCGGAACCGGAAACTGCCGGTTCCAGGGCGGCGCAACCAGTGCCTTGCTGACAGATCCTGGCTTCAAAGGTATGCCTCCCAATGCAGCAGCATCCACTTGGTGTAGGGTTACCTGGTGAGACATTGCCTTGAAGTTCTCCCTGCACAGCTCCAGCTGAGTTCCGTTCAGATCGCAGCCTATGTACTTGGCCCTGGGCCACCAAACCGCCGCTTCGGCCAGAAGGGTGCCACGGCCACACATGGGATCCAGCACCACATCGTCATCCTGGATGTCGAGGCTCCTGGCTGCGGCCCAAGCCTCGACGTGATGCATGCCCTGGTGCGGAAGGGCACCACCGATGATGTGGCTGTCCTGCTGCAGCACCGGCACCTCTAAGAGCAATGACTTCCCCTCCACGTGCAAGTGAATTGTTAGGTCTGGTGATCCTCAGCTCAAGCCGCGTCAGATTTCAGAGCATGATGCATGCACTGCGTCTGCTCTTGCAGTTGGCTTTTTTGAGGCTTTTGAAGTGTAAACTGCCAACAAATCGAGCCGCTACCACGGCCCAGTGCTCTCCAACCAAATCGTCTTTGAAGGCAGCATGCGAGTTCCCGGTGAAGGTGCCGTGCCCGCTCATGGCCGAGTAACGCAGCCAACTCCCTGAAGCGGCGGCACACCACGCAGCAGCTTCGAGGCCAGGACAAAGGTCGCAAAGCCTCCACCGCAGCACTCCAATCAGCTGCAGCATCCAGGGACTGCGCGAGCTCTGCTGAGTCATCTGCCTTGAAGGTGTCTGTGCACAATACCACGTGGCGTATGCTGCGGACGTGCCGCACCTGGCGCAAGGCGTGTATTGTCACTGAGCCGTTGCAGTCCAAGTACCATCTGCCCTTGGCAAATCGCAGGTTCTGCCCCAAGGCATCCAACTCTGCGCGTGCCAGCTGGTTCAGCGAGGCATCAGGCCCATCACAAATGGGAACGACTGAGTACCGCGCAAAGCACAGGGCGCCAAGAGTCCAAGGTCCAACTGCGCTCAGAGCACAGGCCAAACACGCGAGCCGGGGCATCAGCTACATGGCTCCAGCTCAGCGTGTACGGAATGAACCCCTCATATGATGAGAAAATAGCCCGCTGGCTAAAAAACGTACTGTCTCTCTCAGGCAGGAGCCCGTATGACGTACGGCCTCTGAAGCCAAGCTCTTAAGTTTGATGGAGGCTCGTGTGCGTTGCATGTTACTTTCCTCAGCTATTCCCCTGCATGTGAAACTTTCAGAACGAGCCTCGAGCACACCTGGCGAATGCACAACAAATGCACAACACATGTGGCCCAACTGGAACTCCCGGCCCCGGCCCAAACCTGAGCACGGCACCCTGCAGCAAAGGCTCGGTTGAAGGAGGAGGCCATGGCAAAGTTTGGCACGAGGCCCGTTTTGGCTGGATCCGCGGCTGGAGTGTGCTGGGTCTGGGGTCGGTGCTGCCATGCCTTTCCTGCAACTTGAAACGCCACAGTCGAGTAAAGCTGTTAAAGCTGTTGGAGAGCCTGCTTTGCCTTCCTCTGAACAGAACGCTCGAAGAGCAAGAAATCCTTTAGAAACAAAGGGCAGCGCAACGAAGCAAGCGAAACCCTTCCACCCCACACGCCCTGCATTTTGCCTGGCCAAAGCAGGCTCCCACTGTGCTTCACACCTCTGCCGAGGCCGATCCGCTCTGGCGCATTGTCTCAGCACAATGCGCTGTGCCAAAGCGGCGTCCGCGAAGTCCCCCGACACTTGCCTTACTCGGCCGTGTGCTCCGGGATCTCTGGGCCTCGATCCTGGGTGGCGGCTGGCAGGTGGCTGGCGTGCACGAAGCTGTGAAGCTGCTCCGCGTTGGGCTTTCCCATGACCTCCGCGAGCTCCTGGCACGCGATTGCAGCGTGAGTTGTTTGCGGTGATCCGAACATGGAGTGCCATGGGGTGCAGACTTTACAAATTGACAGCTGACCGTCACAGCCGCCCAGGACACGAGAACGCGCTAACAAAGCGGTTCTTCCAAGAACTACCCCCCTTGTGCCTCCAGTGACAGGTCAGGAATGGCCGCCAGTGTGCCGGCCTTCCTCGCCAGGGCGTGCATGTTTCGGGGTGTCACCCCAGGCAGCTTCCGCAGCACGTCGAAGGCCGCCGTGTTGGAGTGAGGCACGTCAGCCTCCTCAGCGTCGATCTGGGCTGCCGCCTTCGAGTCAGGCTGGTACCTGCCCTCCTTCCATGTTTGCGGCTGGCGCCGCGGGGCTCATTCTCAAGACCCTCCCCCTGGCCTGTTTTGTTGAGGGCCTAAAGATTGAAAACTTTGGAAATACGAACTTGCCGCATCATTTATGGGGCGTTGCGGGTCACCACTTCTGCCCAGTCCTTAAGCTTCAAGTAGACGTCTGCTGTGAAGCGGGGAGAGGGGCTCCACATCAACCGCAGCTTTGGGAAGTGAAGCACTAGGAGGGACAGTTTGCCCAGCAAATCCCGGGTGCCCACCTCGATCTCCCTTCGCGCAATCTGGTAGCTGCTCTGCAGAACAAAGCCTTTGGCCGGGTCAAACTCCACCAGCAGCAGTGGGTTGGAATAGTACTGGCACAAGTTCTGCGCTTGCTGGTACAGCCGTCCGCTGGCTAGGGACTGCACCAAGTCGATGATAGCTTTCCGTTCCACGCATATGTCACGAGAGAGCACGTAGTCACCCACCGGGATAGTGACCTTGGCATGCAGGCTGGAAGCCACTAACATGCATATGCACGGACACGCAGCTCCCCCAAAGCAAGCAACTCATGGTCGACACACGGCTCGTTAGCCCAAGCGGCTGGCTCCACCGCCAAGCCGCGGAGGTGCAGCATGAAGGGCAGGGTGGAGCGAAACTCGCGCCTCGGAACAAACCAAAACACAATCCAAACGCAAACCTCAGCGACATGACTGCAACCCATACACAACTATTCGACCAAACAAAAGGAAAAGTATCATACTTCAGATTGCATCGCATCCACCCAGCAAAGACACACAACAAGAGAGGATGCCAAGGCGGCCATTATGCACCACTTCTTCACCGCAAGAAACGGGCGCTGTCTTGTCTTGCGCACTCGCAAACCCTTCCAGAAAGCAACCTATTGGTCTCCTCCCCATTTTCGCCACCCGAAAACTCTCTGGAATGGTCAAGGCACATGTCAACCACGACCCGCGGCTTCACCATGGCTTGCAGGGCGCGTGCTCCACCGCCACGCCTGGAGGAGGGCTCTGGAGGTGCGACCTCCGTGGGCGGGTCCACCTTCCAGGTCACGTGCTGCCGGAAGCGGATGATGGAGTCCACTGCCTGGCTCTCTTGAAGCAGACTCTGCTGGTAGCGATATTTCTCGATGGAATCCTCGTGCCGACAACAGAAGCTTTGAACAGCCCCCCCCAAAAAAAACAATGCCAAGCAAAAAGAAGCTTAAGTAGTCCTCGAAGGCCAGCAAATAGACCTGCAGCCGCGGAGTCGGCGCCTGCGCACCAGGCTCCAGCTTCACCGTCTTCAGCTGGTTCAGCTTCCGGCCGAGGTTGGCGCAATAGACCTCCAGGGTGCGGATGGCTTGGAGGCTGGGCTCCAACACCACCACAGTGTGCGGCTGCATCTCCTCCAGCCGCGCCTCCAGCTCCGAGTCCGGCTCCGCCACGTCGACCCGGGGGTGGCACAAACGGCCCGCCACCTCGCGCATCTGCAGCGAGCTCCGCGGCTGCAGCTGCTGCAGCTCCTGCGCCACCGCCTCCGCCTCCCGCGCTACCAGGCCATCGCGATCCCTTTTGCCCCTGTCCCGCAGATACGCGCCCAGACGGTCCAGCAACGCGGCCTCCACGCCGCGGTGCAGCAGCGCAGAGACCTGCAGCCGTGACCTGTCCTCCGGGGCGATGACCAGCACCCGCGGCTCAAGCACTCCATCCGTTGGCTCCGTCCGGGGCTTCTTGGTGACACGATGCACCGCCACCATCTCCAGGTCGCTGTCGTCAGAGCCCAGCCCAGGCACCTCCACCGACACCGGCTCGGCTTTTAGCTCAATCGGCGGCGCAACTGGCTGCTGGATTACATCGGACAATGTCTGATCCACGGCTTCCAACACCTTCGCCCACTTGGCATGTGGCTCCAGCTTCCGCACACAACGCCCGCTCTGGACCTCGTAAACCCGGTCCTTGGCCAACGCCAGCAGAGCCTGGGCGTCGGGGCTGTGGAGCCACACGGGGGAGGCATCGCAGAGATTCTCCAGGAGCCGCAGGAACTCCACGGCATCGCCGCGCAGCAGCTCCGTCAGCAGCCGCCGCACGGCCCCCAAATCCCCCACCAGACGACGCGCCTGGGGCCCCAGGTTCTGCCAGGCCGGGTCCAGGATCTGACGCAGCTCTGCTTCGAAGGCTGCGGCCACTGAGTCGCGCACCTGGAAGTTGAGTTCCAGGTTGGGGTCCTTCTTCAACTCTCCCAGCGTACCTTGTACGATGTTCAAGATGTGGCGCTGAATTTGCTGCACCTGGCGCGGGAGCTCCAGATTGATCTGCCGAACCTCTGGCTGGAAGTCATGCGACAAACAGTCCTGAACCTCTTTGCGAATACGGGGCCAAATCTCCAGATCGTTGATGAAACACCGCTGCATCACTTTCTCAAGTTGACCCTGGCCCCGCGCAAAGGCATCCGGCATGTCGGAGATGGCGCGCACAAAGCCACGTTGGTTCTTCAAGCGGAACAGCCGCAGCACGAAAGCATCTGCAGATAGCTCAGCCACGCCGTGCGCATGATTCACAAAAATCCCATCGATTGTTTCAGGCAGCACCCGTCCCGAAAGCAAGTCAGGAACCAGAATGCGCGCATTCGCGATGAAGGCCCCTCCGCGAGCAAAAGCGTTCGCTCGGTCTTCCACGCTGAAATCTGGCCCTATAACAGTCAAGTTGGCCCGCAGTCCTCACTCAGGCCGAGCTGGCAAACGGAAATCATCTAATACAATCTGGCACCACACTGGAAGTCTTAGGAAACCCTGCCTGACCAAAGAGGATCCGCAGACGCTCGCTTTGCCAACAGCTCTGCCTCTTCCTGGCAAAAAAGAACAAGCACATGACCTAAGTTCTTAAAAAACTAGACTACAACAGACTCAAAACTGCTCTGTCCTGCGGAGTGTTTAGGAGCACGAGCACGCGCTGGGAATGCTGACCATCCGTTTGTCCAGCTGCCAGGGCTCGTCTGAAAGCCTCCAGAAGCACCTTCCTCGGCTGTCGCAAATTCTCTGGAAGGCAACCCAAAAACCATCGACAAGAACTAAGGCAAACATGTCAAAAGCCAGAGGCATAAACGCATGTTCACCCCACACACATCCAGAGCAGGCTTCTGAGTGCCAAGACCCCTGCCGAGGACAACGAGGCAGGCGCGAGATCGCAGCCAATTCTCCACGGCCCCGAGCTGGTACGGCAGCATCGCCGTTGCAAACGCATCGCAACATCACCAGCGGCAGTAGTTCTGCGTTGCTTGTGTGTTTGGTTGCTTTCCTCGCCTGGGTCAAATTCAATAGGCATGTCGTTTGTGGTCCAGTCGTTACTCATGAACTGCCAATGCATGTAGGCATGCATGCCTGTGTGTGAATGCAAGCATGCATGTATGTACCCGTGCGTGAACCCACTTTTATATATGTCCAACAATACGCAAATAAACATGTTTTGTGTGCAAAAATATTGTTTGAGTTGTCGTGGGCTCTTTAGATAGTCTCAACTATTTTGCGGCGGCACACGGCAAACCTGTCCAACACTGAGACCGTCACAGAATGGCCGCACCCCTGTCGCTTGCGCACGGAATGAATCGGCAGAACAAACAAATCTGACTTGGAGACTGGGCCCAATCGTGGGGAAATCGCAACATACTCAAAAGGGAAAAACATGCAACCGAGAGGCTTCACGCAATGCATGCACTTTAAGGGTACCTCTTTGGAGCCTAGGGACGATTACTCAACTCCCCCCTCCCTGCGCGCACGAAGAAGAAATGATCGACAGTCGCGCTTGGGCAGCGGCAAACATGCATCGCATGGTCATTTACCAGAGAGGTTGTGAGGGCTTACTCAAGATTTTGCATGACCTTTATCAGATAGGCTTCCAAGTGCGAACATCCTCCAACTTCTAAGGCAAACTCGCGCGAAATGCCTAACAACTTGAGAGCATGGTCCCGTTTCAAGGGTTAAAGTGCTTCAGTCAAAAAAAGTCTGCAGTTTGCAAATCGGGTTGACACATGTTTGATTCCAACACCCGTGCCGGGCCCGAACTGTTCTGAAAGCGCAGCTTGTGGGTGCGCATCCAGCGCTGCATCTTTGGAGAGTAGCCCTGCTTAGTGGCAAGTATAGGGCTTGATTGCCTTCGCGCAACACCAGTTCAACGGGGCGAACACTGCCTTCGCCTTGCTGGTGGGTCTCGACACTGACGGCTGGCTCAGCCATGCTAAAGGGAAGGGTGTGTTTGGGTCCCTTTCCCCAGCATACAGAGCGAGATGGATGTAGCTGAGAGTGGACCGAAGGAATGCAGCTCCGGTTCGTTCACGCAACTGATGCTTCCGATGCGTGCTGGCATGGCTTCTGGAGAAGCCCGCTGCGTGGGTGGGCGAGGACGCTCTCAGCCTCGCAACCGCTCTGATCGATGGTGCATCGCGTTGCAGCGGCCTCCCAACGACGTGCTGCGCAAGCGGCCTCGCGAAGATGCGCTGCTCGAGGCCGAGCGCTTGCACCAGCGGCGTCGCATCGAGTTCCTTGAGGAGGAGATAACCAGTGAAACTATGCGCTGCGTGGAGCAGGAGCGCAGCAGCAGACTTCTCCTCTGGCAGCTGGCGCTAGCGGGGGAAGTTGTGAACAGGTACGATGAGCAATGCAATCGGCGCAACGCTGCTTGGAGGATCATCTCCGGCTTCGGCGAGCGCGAGCGGCGGGGCGAGATGGCCTTGAGATGTCACCAGTCCAACACGCCCTCCTGCTTGCGCAGGCCCACTGCTTTGGACCACGCTTGCCCCAACCTCTGCGGGTGGCTGTATTTGTGTGTTTTTTCTGCAAACGTATAGGAAAAACATATGAAAACGATTCCTTGGAAAACCTAATCGAAGCCACGAACCTGAACGCAATCTGCTCGCAACCTTTTGGCTCGAAGTTTGAGGTATAGTGAGTTCCCCGACACTCCTGCACGACACTTCTAAACGACACTCCTAACTTCTACTCGACACTTCTTTGGGACACTTCGGGGCAACACTTCCGAACGACCACTTCTGAGCACCAACATTTTCAATCCACACTTTTGAGTGACGCTTCTATTTGACACTTCCATGCGACACTTATAGCAAATTAGTCGACAATTCGGCGAGACACTTCTGACCAACATTTCTAAACGACACTTCTGCGCGGCACCTCTGCCCCACAACTCCTTCTGAGCAACACCTCATCGACGCTTCTGAGTCTGAATGACACTCGACACTTTTGTCACAGCGCAGCCTCCCCCAAAAGCGAACACACAGCACTTCTGAAGCGAGACCGATCCAAGACAGTGGCTGAAGGCAGGCAGCGCCGGCCTCCAGCGGCAGCGGGAATGGAAGGTGTTGACAGGAGGTCCATCACATACCGTTGTCTCGCCTTAATGCTCAAGTCGTGGTTGGCTGCCGTCCCCCTTTTCTGGGGTTGGTTTTTCGTTTTTGTGTTTAAGGTTTGGGCTGCCCCTGGTTGTGGTTCTCGTTGGTTCGGCGCGACCCGGTGGAGCCTGGAACCCGCATTGGAGCACAGCTGGGAGGCGGGCCCAGTATAAACAATCCGCTTCCGGGGTGGTGCGCCCGGGCTAAATAAGCACACCCGGCCCGGAGAAGGAAAAAAAACGGAGAGGGCCGGGGGAAACAAAAACAGGGGGGACCGACCCCTTGACCAACGGTCCACAGCCTCGGGGGATCAACGGTCAGCGTTCTGGCTGTTTTCTCTCCCGGCCTCGTTGGCTTTGTTGGTTTTCTGTTTGCCATGTCGGGCCGACTCTCCCGTCGCCCTGTCCGTGCCCTCGCCCAGTTTGTCCGGGCCTGCTGGCGTCGGCTTCTCGTCCTGCGGAGTTGGCCCCACAAGCGTTCTCGTCCTGCTTTCCACAAGCGTTCTCCTGGTTGGAAGCTGGGCCCGGCTCACAGCCTTTTTCGTGCGAATAGCTGGCTGTACGTCCCCCTGCTTCTGGCTGGCGACCACCTCTTGAGGCGGCCGATTTCCAGTGCCGCTCTGATGCGCGTTTCGCGCCTTTCTGGCCTTACTGTGTGGACCTGCTTCGCCGTTCCGCGCCTGTCCCCTGGCTTCAGTTTGCTGACGCCTTGCATGGCATCCAGACAGCGTCGGCGCTGGATGGCCGCCCGGTGGCACACCAAGAAGCCCGCCTGCTCCAGTCTGTCCAGGCTGCTGGGCGCGAGTTGCCCGCTGCCACCTCGGTGTTCTTTCGGTGGGCGCTGTCCCTAGTCCAAGGCGCGGAGGCACACATCCCTGCCTCTGCTCAAGAAGCCTTACTCTTGGTTTTCTGGGCGACCGCGAGGCTGCGCGCCTCGCTCAGTGTGCTGCCAATGTGCGGGCTCCACCGCCGGCGCCTGCCAGAACGCCCGTGCCAGCCTCCGTGCCCGCCCCTGTGCCCGCCCCTGGGCCTGTGCCCGTGCCCACCCCGGCGACCGCCCCTGCGCAGTCTGCCCCGGTTCCCGCAGTGGCTTGCCTTTCTGCTGAAATTCCTGCGGCGGCGCAGCAGACCGCGCCCTGTCCGAACCCGGCTCCTCTGCCCCTGCTCCCCCCGGCCCGGCTTTGGGCATCACGGATGGCCGCGTCCGCCGCGGACTGGCTAGCCTGGGTCCGGTGGATGTTCAGGCCCTCCTCCGTTTTCGGGCGCACACTTTCCAGTGCCCCCCTGCGTTTGTTAAGGGTCAAGTCCGCCAAGCTCTTTCCCTCGCTCTGCAAGCAGTCCTGGAAGCGGGCGACCCCTCTTGCCGCCCTTCGAGCTTGGAAACTCTGGCTCCTGTTGCCCCGCATGCTGCTCCATCGCAAAGCCGGGGAACGCCGGCTCCCCAAGCAGGAGTGGAGAGCGCGACTTGCGGCCTTCCAGGACGGGTGCTGGACCCAACTGCTGCGCTCCTTGCCGCCGGAGGCCGGCCTCGACCTGCCCCACCCTCAGGCCGCACACGGCCCGGCGGCACGCGACCCTGCTGGCGGTTCTGACCGGGCCCGCCGCCTTGTGCACCTGGGCAAGCTTTCTTCGGCCGCCAGGCCTTGACCGCAGCCCCCTTGGCGCCTGGCAACGCTTGATCCTGAGGCTACAGTGCTTTCTGTGGATGGGGTTGGTGCCTTTCAACGTGTCACGGCGGGCCATGCTGGAGGCGCTGCGCGCCGTTCCCGGGCTAACCGCTGTCTCCCGTTTCCGTTTGTTCTACGCCTCTGCGTCTGAGTTCGTGTGGCATGATTCTGAAGGCACAGCCCATACCATTTCTCAGGCTGAGGGGGGAGAGCAGGGAGACCCTTTAATGCCGGCCCTTTACTCCCTTGGCGTGCGGGACGCGCTTGCGGAAGTCCAAGCTGGTTTGGAGCCCAACGAGCTGCTGTTGGCCTACCTCGATGATGTTCACATCGTCGCTCGGCCCGACCGCGTCCGCTTCCTTTTTGATCGCCTGTCTGAGACTTTGTGGCGCGCTGCGTGCATCCGGCTGAACCATGGCAAGACGCGGGTCTTGGCCGGGAGCCCCCCGGAATCTCCGCACTTGCTGTTGGGGAGGATCCTGTGTTTGTCGGACCGCCTGCCTTGGCCCCCGCCCAGCAGGGTCTCCGCGTGCTCGGCGTGCCCGTTGGCTCCCCCCAGTTTGTCGCAGCTCAGCTCGACGCTCCCGCTGCGAGCCAGCGCACGCTCCTCGCTCGTCTTCCCACCTTGGAGGACGCGCAGGCTTCGTGGCTGCTTTTGCTGTTCTGCTGCACTCCTTGGTGCAACCATCTCCTGCGTTTGCTCCCACGGCAGAGTTCGCGGCTGCTGATGACCTCGCTGTTGCGGACTGCTTGTCCACCCTGCATCAGGCAGGCCCGTTGCCCCCGAAGGCGTTGGGCGTTGCAAGGTTGCCTCTTCGGCTTGGTGGTCTCGGTCTACGTTCTGCGGCCGCCGTCACCCCTGCGTATTGGGCGTCTTGGGCCGATAGCTTGCCTCTTCTGGAAAAGCAAACGCCTTCGCTTCTTCGGGACGTCCTGCCCCACTTGAGCCCTCCCACTCCCCGTAACCGAAAACACCTGCCGGCGCCATCGCCGTTTGGACTCCCTTGGCGACCACCGTGCAGCGTGTTCTCGGGCGGGTGTGTTGCGGAGTCGGCGCGCTCTCGAACGGGCGGCCGCCCGGGTGTGCCGTGAGGCTGGGGCCCGGGTGACCACCAACACCCGCTTGGCCGATCTCAACCTGGTGGTTGACCACGTCGATGACCGGCGCCTTGAGGTCATTGCGAATGGGTTGTCCTTGCATGGCGAT